TTTCAAGCCTTAATCTGGCCTTGTGACTTAATCTTAGTGACTTAGCGGTAACTCGCACAGCTTACATCGATAAAATTGTAGCTTTGTAATTAATAACAAACAAAACAAATAACCATTAATCCCTGTTGAGAGTTTAACACGCTGTTGTGAAAAATTATTGAATTATCACCATTGCGAAAAAAGAAAATAGACATTTAACAATTTCCCTTGACAGGGGGGTCATTTTTGGTCATAAAATGAAAAGAAGAATAGAACTATTAGATGAGGGAGCTACACTGATTCATCTATTATTTCATACAATGCATGTATAGGAAGTTGGCACTCCCTATTTCTTTAATCATTGTTTCAATTAAATTTGTTATATGTACGTTATTATGTTAACAAAAGTTAACAACAGGACTTGGACGTGACAGGGTGAAATTAATGGTCTGTTTAATCAGAGGTTGAAACATTTCCAAGGTCTTGTACACTACAGAACATTACAATGGATTATGTGTATTGATATACTTCTAGAATGAAATTAAATAAAGACTGTAATGAACGTCAATAGCACGATACTTTTAAATTGTACACACTAAAAATAATAAGAGTAATAAACAATATTGTATTGAAAGGCTGTACACCAGTGTAAGAAAAAAATGGGAATTACTTAATAAATAATGATAACCCTTTAAATTAATCAAAAACGTTTTAATATATGTTTATTGCGACTTTTCGTATACAAAACGTCTATGACCGAGTGCCTGACATGCTGTTACACAATTTTCAACTCTGATTCGATAGAAAGCATTTGTAATATATTCTTTTAATTCGTCAGTGATTTTGGGTTTACTTTTAGACATTCTCCAATATTAACTGAAATAAAAATATAACTTTTAGAATCGATATACATAAGTTGCATAACTAAAAGGATGGGTACATTTTTTGGAGGCCAACCTGTATTATAAAAGTCATTTTTATTTTGATAACTACGTTTAACAATGGCCTAATGGTATTTTATTAATTTCACAATAGATGATAACTGGTGAGTAAGGCTTAAGTTTGACTGTCTTCGTACTGATGAAACACAAGATTGGTGTTTGCGTTCTAAAAATGTAGTAAACTAATATTCCGTTCAGGCTTTCATAGCTATGTGATATACTGATCCATGTCTACATAATATCGATTTGTAGCTTCGCATGTTCGCGTAGTTTTACGAAGTATTACCATGCAGTATGTGGAAGTTCATGCGACTGCGTTCAACTTGATTGCATTCAATTTTCCACATCACTTACAGTGCCAGTATCAGAAAATTTTGATTTTTTCCCCATGATGGCTTCTTTTGCGATGTGTGCATGTATTACTTTTTTTTGTAATGTTTCAGTTCAACATGGCAGTATGCAGCGTTGCGAGGTGGTGTATAACACTGAACATTCTTGTAACATTCGGGTATAAATACAACATTAAACTTAAAATTTTGTTTGTAAAATTGATTGGTGTTATAAGAGTGACAATCAATCCCTTGGCTTGGGTGGTGGGGTGCTGTTGACTAATTACCTTTCATCTGGTCAGTAGTTCAAAATTAGATATGGCGGAAGATGTTTTTAGTAGCTTTGCAATAGGTTGGTTGGTCTGTTGTTAAGCGCAAAACTAAACAATGTGCCTACCATGGATATCGAAACCTTTGTTTATCGTTTTAAATCTTCAGACTTCTCCCTGAGCCACTAAGTTGGCTTTGCGATACATACAAAATACAAATATAAACCCTGTATTAAAAGTCATGCAGTAAGAACGTCACTAAAAGAAGCAATTTTCCATCTGTTTTTTGTTTGTTTGTTTTCTCTTTCATACGGTAAGCTTATTTGTGTAGAAAGCATTTATTTTTTAATTAACTCTTTCAGCACGACTCGGTCCATAGGACCGACCTCGTAACCATTTTGTGCTTGTTATAGTTTTCATGCTATAACTTAAATTAGTGAGCGCATGTTAACGAAATTTGACAGTTTCTTCTTTTCACAAGTTGCCTAAGATTAAAAATACTTTAATGCATCAGAAAATTTTAAAATTTCACATGCGAAATCTTTATAATGTAATAAAACGTTTCTTAAGAAAAAACTATATTTTATCTGTTATTTTCACTAACGAATCTCTGTGCAGGTTCAGTAGATTTGACCGATCTTGAAACCGCCATAAAAAATTAGTAAATAAATATAAATCATGCCTCTTTCGTTCTAGAACGACAACAAAGTAACCACCATAAAAAATGAGGAAAAATAAAGTATGCCTCTTTCGTTCTGGAATGTCAACAGAGTATAACACGAAAACATAAATGTTTAGACTAAATAGCTTAGATCTCATAACATTATACATTCATATATATATTTATTATATTGATCTTTCAGCCGTGCCTGGCTAACAATACAGAAGTAACAATGACGCAGCACACCGTATCCAATAATACAAAACTGACCTTTGGTCTTTACAAAGTGATCTGTCTTGCCCGTGTTTTAGTAGACTAGTATTTTGTAAATACAGTGACATTTCCATTATCCTACATTATATATATGTATATAGATTATAATATTTAGAAATAAGTTCTTAAACTTGTTTTTCTTAAACAGTAAATAAAGAAGTAAAGCAAATCATTATCTTTTCTAGTTACGACCTTTGTACTCGGTTGCTGCTTGACGTATGTTGCTAAGCCTTTTAAAACTTCGCACGTGGAGGATATGAAACGATATATATATTAGGTTTTATATATACAGTTGAATAACCAAAAAATCATAAATTACTCTGTAGATACCGTGGAATTCCACTATAATTTATAAATTAACTAAGCTGTATTTGGGTCTAAAAAAGTATGACATTTCGAGTAGACTAAAGGCACAACCTACCTCTTTGCAATCTTGGTTGAAAGGAAGAGACGGCGTCCTAACACATGAAAATGGCTGAGAAAGCCACAAGAGGGACATTATGAGCTTTCAATTGGTACTCACATGTCATATATATTGAAGTAAGTGTATGTAAGGGACCGTTTCCAAAAATGGAAAGAGGTGAACGGGGCCACTGTGTTTGTTTCTGTACATGAGTGATATCTCAGCAAATAGAAAAAAATATTAGGTTCTTATTTCATATTATAGCTTGTCAATATCGGTAATTTGAGTTCCCAATTCGTACGAAACTACAGACTTAGTATTTTGCCATCACAAACATTTAATTTGAAAAAAGTGCTGCATTCAACATACACGTGACACGCAAAAATCGATGTTTAACTGTTTTTTTATATTTACTTTTAAATTAAGAATTTAAATAATTTATAATACTAAAATTTGAATTATAATCTAGTTTGATACCAAACTTATTGACATAAATTTATGAAATAGTAGTTCAATGAAATTTTGAATGCGAGGGGACAAACGCGATAATATGACCTCTGATCCGTGACCCGTCTAATAAGACCAATAAAAAAAATACAAAAACTATTGCATTATTATTGAAACAAAAAAATTATGTATAGGAGTAAAAAAACAAGTTTGTCTTTTCCCGAGGACACTGCTGTAATAAAATCATTATGAACCATAATTATATCATTATTTCTTGTTTTCAAAGTCGGTGTAAATAAGCACGCGTTTAATTGAGATCAACGTATTAATACATACCGAATATTCATGACTACTTTCGGTCAGCATCGAGCTACTTCAAACAACTTTAGTAACGAAGAAAAGCTACCTTTATGTATTTAAACTTTATCATCTCATTAAAATTGTTATTCTGACGTATTGTAATTTTTATGCTCGAGTCTGTTTTTATGGTTTGTAGTGGTTGTTTCTGTTTAAACCTGAAATGTAAAATTAATAAATATATATACATTTAGAAAAACAAATAAAACGATAATTTATAGACTTTAATCTCGCCACCAAAACAAAACAAGTTTTAAAAAAAGAGAGAAACGGTATAAAATGTATTTATCGAAACTAAATGGTTCATAGTATGTTTTATCACAAGAATAATATTGTGCCAACTGACGAGAAAAAGATAGTGCAAATAGACAACAGGAAACTTTGACTGATTATAGATATCTGTATGTATGTATACGAGTATGTTTGTGAAAGGTATTGTACTATCCATCTAGTATCGTGTGTATAGAACAATTCGGTTCAACTTCGCCGTGTAAATGAACTCTGACGTCGTTAATGTCATAGAAATCTTCAACAGTTCTCGTTTTAATGATTGTTTACACACGTATTTTGCTCTTCTGTATGGGTAGCTATTTAACTGTAATTCTTTATAATCTCCTTTTTCTTTAGAAGACGCATTTCAAAAAATCATCTAGACGGACAGAGACGAATGTTTACATTCGTATTAGAATTATATCACCTGTCAATAAGTGCACAAGAAAGCATAAAGATAGGGTTCCAAGATAACTATATTCAGCTAGAATACGTTGAGATATTGCTGTGATCAAATGTGACAACAGTTGATTCAAGTTAACAGTATACATATGTTTGAAAGATGTTCCACGGTTTATGAAGTAACTTAAGTAGAACTGTTTTAACAATTATTTATTGTAGGTTATAGAGACATAACCAACATTCTCAAACACCTTTTCAAGATACCAGTTATTTTCTGTTAAATTTAATTGGCAAGTTTTTTTTTTTTTTCAACTACCTTTACGTACATAAAAGTAACTTCGATTATAATAAACAAAGAGAATACACGGATGGTTTTGTTTGATTAGTAGGTAAATATTCAAAATATATTGAAGCAATAAATTTATTTTTTATTTCATGAGTTTTTTTTTCTTCTTTTTTTATCTGGATAAATTTTATATTCACTATTGTATAGTCTTCTACGGTATTAAGACAAATAATAGTTTTTTTATCTTAAAAGTTATTATATAGCCCGCAATATATACAAATATTTGGTTAGTGTGTTTGTGATGATAAAAATGTAAAGACTTCAACTTGTTAAGGGGATCTATAGATGGGAATTATTGGTTTCTCCCTACCATCTCTCTACAGCTCGGATGAGGAGGACAGTCACGGTCCAAAGTTCACACGTATGGAGGAAGACAACATGCAAGATAAAGAGAGATTTGCGAGGTAAGATTATTGTTTAAAGTTGTATTATAATAAACAAAAGGTAATAAAAATTATTATTCAGTTAATATTACGAGTCTAAGAAATGTAGTTCTTACTGTCACTGTAATGAAAACGATACACACACACACACACACACATGAAATTAGCTTAAATAAATTGAGCTGTTGGATGAGTTTGTTCATGCAGATATCTTTTTTGTGGATAAAATATTTTAATATATCTAAACACTTCTGTTATGTATATGGATTTAACGTTAGATTTTTTCCTCATTCCGTTGCGGCTTTAAAGAGTAAATTAAAATTTTTCCTTTGTCATTTCTATTCATGAGTTCGTCCCTGCTAGCTCAGCTGTAAATTTACGAGCTTATAACATTAAAAATCGGGGTTCGATACCTCGCGATGGGCACGGCGCAAATAGCTATTGTGTGTAGCTTTACGCTTAAAACAAGCTGACATCAAGAACAACACCCATATTTGGTATATTTGTATCTGTTTTCTATCAACATATAGCCCATTTAATTTGAAATTGGATTTTTCTGGCTCTGAGTGTTCTTTGTATGGTATTTTACTAAATCTTGTGTAAGCTATCATTACAAGCGCTTTTAAAGCTAAGAATCGATTAGATCACGTAATG